TATTGATTCAGCTTAGTCATGTATATGTACTTGCTGTCTAAAAGCAGCTTTAGCAGTTTTCTGTAGTTGCCAATAAAAATCCTATAATAATAAAAAAAAATATGTGTAACTCAGTCAATTTTCAAAAATCAATGCATAATCAATGGATCAAAACAAAGCTTATGTAATGGACTATTATTTTAAAAAACAAACCTATCTTCATGCTTTACCCAAAACAAAAGTCTCAGTCTGTTAATGAAAGGCAATGACAAGTGATATTATATTATTAGAAAAAAAATGCATGAAGCCCTAAAAATACAATTATTGACCAAGATACAATCCATTATAACTTAAAAATTTTAAAAAAAAAGGAGACATAAAGCATAGAGGGGGAAATGGTCACAAAAAAATTATAATATTGATGGGTTTTTTTGTTTATTTGGTATTAGGGTGTTTTTTTTTTGTTTATTTAGGGTGTTTTTTTTTTTGTTTTTTTTTGCTTATAGAATTGGCCAGTATTAGTATGTGTGAAGAAACTCAACCATTTCTACTAAAATAGTTGCTCAAGTAAATTAAAGGAAGTCTCCCATGCTAACAATAATAAAGGCTCATAAATATAAAGAAAATCGGGTAACATACAGTAGTAATAGGCCAAAAAACACTTAAATAACATTTGGAAATGGACAATTTTTGACTGACAAAACATCATTCCAATTGTTCCAGAACACAATCAAACGTTGGCATAAAGGTGCAAAGCTAATATGCCCAATGCTGAAAGATTGATGGCTTATTACTTATTACTATGATTTATTACTGTATTATTATTATAGTAATAGTGGTTATTTCGATATTTATATTATGATCGCACAACATATTAGTAATTATTATGATTATATAATAATATTCTTCTTGGATAATATCTGAACAACGTTAAAGTAGGCTGATTTCCAATTTTGTTATATTTATATCCTGCAAGTACTTTCTTAATTTTAGGAATAAAAAAGTTGCATGGACTTAATCAAGACTATAGAGTGGATTGAAAATAAGGCGACTAAAATTATAATTAACGAATTTCAAACCGATGATGAGATCTTAATATTATGGTATTCACACATTCGAATATTGTTAATAGTCTCTTTGTTTTGAACGTAAGAAACATTACAGTTCCATTCATTGTTAAACTTTATATATGAGTGGTAGGCTTGTTCACACAAAATCTGATCAGGTTCTCATTTGAGGTTTGTACAGGTCACATAATACTAATACAGTGTTTGTAGAGTTCAACTCAAGGTTCAACAGGCATTTTTTAGTTTACATCCTACATTGGGTAGAGACTTCTTTCTTTGACATAGAATGATCGGATCTACAAAGTACGATTCAATCTAATCCACGCGATGCTTTATATTCGTCTTCAGTCAAACAGTTTTCGAGTGCTATTTGTGTGTTCTCATGCTTTGGCTTGATGATGGCAATATATCCTTCTGTGTATGGCTAGAGCAAAGTTATGATAATGTATTACATCACTCGCGTCTAAAACCGTCATCCAACAATTTAGCAAGTTACCTTTCGAAACAATAATCCCTCATCTTCCAAAAGTCGTTTATTGAACTCAACTATCCACCCTGCCAGGCACGCTCTCACTTTATATTCGGTACGCTTGGCGGTGGAGTCAAATTCTTTACTGACACTGATCACACAGATGACTGTTTCCTTGTGCAATGGTCGTTTCTTGTTCGTCGTATTCACAATTTTATCTGGAAATGAAATGTTAACTTTGTGTGACGAATGGATCGATGAATGATGATTTCGAAGAAGCGGGTGGGTTGACGCGAGTCCTAAGACGCAAAGTCTTCAAGAAACGAAAAGACGGGTTGTCTATTTAGATTAAAACTAAAAAGTAATTTTAGAGAGGAAGACGTAAAATTCGTATATAACTTATTCGGAGCCTGATAGATATAGTAGTCTTCTGTGCTATCATTATCTGGTCATGTCATTTGAAGAAGATAAGTTGATTGTGTAAATAGAAAAACGAATAGTTATTAAGAAGATGGAATACCAGTTGAAACGTGATAATATTTGGTATAGTATTGTTTAAGGTATGTCAATGGATCTCTGTTATAATTTTCAATTAGGTCGGTATATCTGCTAGTCTCATAGTCTTCTTCAATCATTGTTCATATGAATGTAGAGCAGATTGTGTAGTACCACGTAGATGATTTGTAACTGCGTCATCCACAATGATGCGATTGGTTGGCTGGTTGTGAACCACATACTTACTTGTCAACCGCAGTGGAACTCTCTCTTTCTCCCTCTTCTGTGCGCCAAGTGAATTACAATACAATAAACGAATTAAGCAAATGATGTCTACTGAGGCCATGGACATTGACGAATCACCCAATAGTTCTAAAAGCACTCAAAAGAAGGAAAAAGAGGGGAAAAGGAGGTTTGAAGTTAAGAAGGTACTCCAACTCTGGCTCTGATGTGGTGAATCGGGCTAAGTTTCCTTTCTTTTCCTTCGTTAGGAAATAATTGCTCACAATAACTGCTGAAATGTTTTATCTAAACTGCACTAGTGGAACGCAGTCGCCTTATGGGCATGGGGTACGGTTCATGCCACTTTTGTTTCGTTGTTTGAAAGATGCTTACAACCGCAGATATACACTAATTTGTGTCTTTGCTTCCTTTACTATATATAGACATCGTTGTAGATAACTGCGCTATTTGTCGAAATCATATTATGGATCTATGTAAGAATAAAATGCGCAAAAGGATACGGTTGTTATGTCTGCTAGAGCAAAACGGATAAACTTGCGTTTATCAAAACCTAGGTATTGAATGTCAAGCGAACCAAGCCTCGGCAACAAGTGAAGAATGTACAGTGTATGTATATACTATTTATTTTCAAGTCATTCGATTCTGTGATAATTGATTCTCACAAGATCTATCGGTTTTATTGACGAACAAGTGCATGGGGAATTTGTAATCATGCGTTTCATTTCCACTGTATTTCTCGTTGGTTGAAAACAAGACAAGTATGTCCTCTAGATAACAGAGAATGGGAATTCCAAAAGTAAGTCTTCTTGACAATTGAGAATTTTCTTGTTTAGATGGTTATATTGATGCGACACATTAAATCGACAGGTATGGAAGATAATGAATGGCAGATTGAATTTAATACGTGGATAATAATGGTTTGATAAAGTTGTCATCAATAAATCTTTCTGTGTGCAATAAATAGCTGCACCGCGCTATAATAGATAAATATCGAAGGTTTCGCGACTTCATATTAAATGTTTTGATGTAATTTATTGTCTACCGTTTCGTTTGTTGAAATACCCAACTCGTTTGATGCACGTATATTGAGACATACTTATAATTACGAACGGACGGATTTTGCGGTCTTATCAGCGAATAGTCAAGCTTTTCAGTGCTTCTGTTTAGAAGCAGTGTTAAATTGACATTGACTGTACTACTCATAATAGGACATTTTTTAGTTTCTTCGCCGGCGAAATGAATTCAGACGTTTAATATTAATACTAAAAATGGACAATGCGTAACAGTTATTGACATAATGCCGTTTACTATGCTTGAGCAAAATTATCACTTAAAGGGAGTTTTGCTTTATTCGTCAATATCGTTCGTCACGCGTCTGTTGTCCATAAAATTTGTGTTGTAAAGGTAATGTCGGCCTTTCTTTGAGAAGCCTTCTGTTCGACCGTTGTAATAAATCGCCACCCGAATTATTCATTTTTGACTACCATGCATTCTCACCCTCGACTTAGTGTATTCCGCGGGATTTTGATGCATACCACTAGCTTAGAAACAAATAATATCTATCAAATATAAGCCGGGCGTTCTTTTCGTCTGCTATGTAATTTTCCGTTTATACTCGTCTATATGATGCATAGCGATGTTTTACTAATTGATATGTAATAGAAATTATATTTTTTGTGATTTATACACATGCTTAAATAATTGACATTATGAAAAGTGGCAATACGACTCGAAAATGTTCGCAGTCATAAAATTTTATATTATGAAATTAATTCACATGCTTAAATAAATTGACTTACAAAGTGAGTTTTGAGAAATGTATCAGCGTAAAATATGTAGGCAGACAACTAAGCTTTACTAGTCAATTTTCATCGTATAATAATAATGTAAATTTTCATATTCTTTGGCTTTATCAAGTGAAAACCCAAAAATAACCTTATGTAACCTTTCTTTAAAAGCTTGTCTTTAATAGCAAAAAATTTAATATGCGGAAGACCAAGGTACTTAAAAATATCGGTAAACGAGAATAATCGTTCCTTCTTTCGTAACTGGTTAGAGAACTTCGCTCTCTATCCGGGTTTTCCATGAGAAAATAAACGGTCAAGCTTGTCGCATGTGAGGCGATGAATTTCGTGTATCAACTTTTATGCGTCGCATCGTACCTGGTATATAAGAGTTTATCTCTGTGCAAGGCAAAAATGATAACGGATCTGTAAAAACGTAATCAGGAATACAACAAACGAAGACTATTTAAAAACATCCAATTTAACCATCACACAATAATTATTGTAAAAAGTGTTTGACAATTTGCATGGCATATTGACATTAATGCACAAGTCTCGTTGTTGTTAATGGGAAATTTTCGTACTTTACAAAAAGTGCTTATTTTTATAGGTAAATTTGAATTGCTGCTAAACGGCATAACTTGTAATAGTCACTCTCATATTACAGAATGGTATCGAGAATGATATTCGCCGTGGATAGTTGCGTTTATTGATGCCGCGTTCAACGAATGATCATGTTTGGAGTATGACGTACGACAAAGGAGATAACGACAATCTGCTGGCAAGCAAGACTTTGTGACCCGGTTGTGCATCGGTAAAAATACACGTCCCAAATAAAATTAATGTCGAGACAAAATAGGAAAAATATGACGTAACAGTTTGCGACGTTTAGCAGTTTTTGTGGCTTTGTTACATATTTTATACATAGTTCTGATCGTATTCTATGAAATATCGGAAAAATTGATTGCAATAATATTAGGTTAGGTGTATCCCAAATCACGCGATTAATACAATGCTCTATAATCGTAATCTGATTGTTTACTCTACCATCAATCAATGAGTGTACTACCATAGAGAATACTCGAACAGACGAAAAATAAAACCATTCTTTCCCGCAGAGCATACGCAAATTTAACTTTTTTTATATGTGTAATTTATTATAAACTGGAATATTTTCAGTATGAGTGCACAGAAAGACTCCCCGCCGACCGAACAGACAAGCTCTCAACCAAAGCAAACTGAAAACCCTTCAGTTGCCGTTTCATCCGAGAATGAGCAGAAGGAAGCGGAAAAAAAAGAAGCCAAATCAACTGCTCCTCAAGAATGTTCCACACCAAACAGTACCAGCGCGTCTCCACTACCTCTATCACCTATACCCACGTATTATTATCATAATGGGACCCCGAGTTATATAGAAGCGACTGCAGCAGAAGCCTATCAGGCAACCATGAGTGCTGCTTACGACCCCAACGACCCTAATGCTTTCGCTGCTTATGGTCAATACGGGATGCATCCCCAATATTCACAGTATTATCCGGCTGAATATAGTGCTGCTTATCCAGGAACGCCTCCTATGCAGGCGCAAGCCTCTCCCTCCCTACCACCACAATCCCTGAGTCCATACTTCGGTGCTACTAGTCCTACTATAGCATATTATCCTACTTCTCCACAAGTTGGTCCAACAGGCATTATTCATTCTCCTCCAATGCATCCGTACGTCTACACTCCTCAATCTCCATACACAATGCATCCTATTCACACACTTTCACCGACGCTATCACATACATCCTCTTCAGCTCCAAACTCCCCGCCTCCACAATATCTACCTGCTCCTGGAGTACCTTCTCCGAAAGTAGGACCGCTTAGCAATAGTCACCGTATTCATCTAGCACGTCCTCCACAGCATTATAGCTATGGCCGGAGAGATTCGGGATCAAATCAACCTTCAAATATGCCCAATTATCATAATCCAACCAAGACAACTAATATTTATATTCGTGGGCTTCCTCCTACGACTACTGACGATTCTTTGCATAGCATGTGTTCTATGTGAGTATTAACAGATTGTTACATTTAGCATCGTGCTCGACTTGTTCTATGAAGGAGATACTGCGGTACGAAGAAAAGCATAGAATATAACAGAACGTTCATAGTTACCATTGTATCTTGTGTAGAATTTCTGGGTTTTTTTGCTGTCTTATGCTGAAAACTTTTATACTCAATTGATTTATTAACAAATCAAACATCTCTTTAGATATGGTACCATTACCTCTTCAAAAGCCATCATCGATCAGAAACAAGGCGATTGTAAAGGATATGGTTTTGTAATGTACGAGACAGAGGATCAGGCGAAGCATGCAATTGAGCAATTAACGCGCTTAGGATTGCAAGTCTCCTTCGCCAAGGTTGGTTATGTGAGTGTAACTTATACATTATCTATCTATGATTAACTGTACGAGTTTCTCGTTTGTCTGTACTAACAACGTTGACTATACGACTAAAAGGAATCATTCAGCACAAAACTAAAAAACCTACAAGATTTGGCATCAACAAATATCTACTTGTCGAATCTACCATTAGATATGAATGAGCAGGTATTATTATTTGGAAAGTTTTTGTTCAATTTCATCCCATTTGAGAGCATTGTGTTCTTATATTCAATTTTATTCCACGACTATTTATGTAGCAATTAGAGGAATTATTTAAGCCATATAAAGTACTATCTAATCGTATTCTAAGAGATACAAATGGTACAAGTCGTGGAGTAGGATTTGCGAGGTATTTGTTGGTTCTTATATGTATACACAAAGTGGAACAATATGTAGATGGTCATTATTCGTTTTGAACACTCTAGAATGGAGGACCGCGACTCAGCGCAAGCTATTATTCAACAATTCAATGGATATCAGCTTCCCGGAGCAAACTTACCTCTACAAGTGAGGTTTGCCGACTCTTTGGCTCAAAAGAAATTGAAAGGAACCGCTAGAAAACGGATGTGGAGAACTCGTGAATTTGCTTCTATCGGTGGGGTAAGTATATATAATGACGTTCGATCGGTTATGCGTGTCATTGCATTGGTTCTAAGTGGTCGTTTATACTCGGCAGGTGCCAGTGACACCGGAGCATATGTTGGGTATGGCCGCCTCCGCATCGCCTCCGGGACCAACTGCTTATATTCCATACTATCCAGAAGGAGTACAACCTGCAGCGTAATGTTTTTCTCATTATTAATAGTATTTGATGGTTAGTTGCTCGAAAGGCTCTGACATGCTGCGATACTCTTGGCTCTCGTATTTCATAGTCCATATCCGCAAGGTTCGCTTTCACCGACATTTGGGCCACAGTATCGCTATTACCCCATGTATCCAGCGCCTGCTGCACCTATTCATCATGGTCCAGACGGACAACCCGTTGTTGCTAATGCTCCTATTCATCAGGTATCAAGTCAACCAGGGACACAGGCGGAGCAAGCAAATACAGTCACATCATCT